GTGGCAGGGTTCAAAAAAATGTTTGTTGAATGCATGGAATTAATGAATAAATATTGAACGACACCTAGTTCGGGTTAAATTATCAGGTAAGAGCCAGTTATTTTATAATGCTGAGTAATGATACCTCTCATACTTGGAAGATCACCTAAGATGGTAGGACTGACGTCATCATGTGAAAATGGTAGACCCAGGCATAATTTCCCCGAATAAACAACCATCCAACTTCCGCTTTGAGATGGCTGTGGGATTACTTAGGTTCGGGGTCTGGGTGTTATCTGGATAAAATAAACTATCGTAATGAAACAGGTAGTTTAATGTAAAGTAACATTACTATGTACAGTGCAATTTTGGGTCTTTTCTGGCACAAGAACTTTCCTTTCCAAAATTTTATACCAAGCCAGGGTTTTTACATTAGCCTACAAAGCCTCCATCAGGGTTTCTCAAGCTCAGCACCACTGATGTTTGGGACTGGATAGTTCCTTGCCGTGGGGCCTGCCCTGTTCATCGTATGGTGTTTAGCAGCACCCCTGAGCTCTATCCGCCAGATGCCAGCAGCAAGCCCCCAGCTGTGACAACCAAAAAGTATGTCCAGACATTGCCAAATGTGTTCTGGGAAATAATACGGCCCCTAGTTGAAAACCTCCATCCTACGTGATCTGGCTGTACACCCAGTGACCCATGTCACTCTACTCTCTGTTATTTGCTGTACTTTAGCCACATTGGTTTCTGGATCTTTCTTGAACATGTGAGGCATGGTCCACCTTGAAGTCTTTGCATTGGCTGTTCCCCTTACCTGGAATACTTTCCTCAGATGCCTCCATGGCCACTCTATATCTCCAGCAAGTCTTGGCCCTGTTGTCATTTTCTCTACATTCTGTTTTAAATCATATCCTTCGTAACAGCCCTTCTTCTATTCCCTTTCTCTGCTTTCCCCGTGGCATTTATAACCTAATTTACAATACCATCTTCTCATCCATTTTCTTTATTGCCAGTCAACCCTACTAGAATATAATCCTCAGGGTCTGGTTCACTTCTGTGACCCTCAGCTCCCGGGACAGTGCCTGGCACGTAGTATGTGCTTAATACACATTTGTTGAATGGACAAATAAGTGAATGCATGTGTGATTGATTTTTTATTCTAGAAGTTTCTTTTATTAATTTTTTTAAATTTTTTAATTTTTTTAGAGACAGTGTTCCACTGTCTTACCCAGGTTGGAGTGCAGTGGCATGATCATAGCTCACTGCAACCTCAAATTCCTATGCTCAAGCAATTGTCTTCCCTCAGCTTCCCAAATAGCTAGCACTACGTCTTCCCGCAATGGACTGATTGAGAAAGTTTCATTAATGTACAAATGGCATATTTGACTTCAAGCTGTTGAGGAAAATTGAGATTCTATATAGGGTTTTTAAATTAATCTCTAAGGGTCATTGATCATTTTACTTGATAAGTACATTTCCATGTACTTAATACTTTTATAAGGAAGTATCTTTCTGTAATTTAGCTAAAGAGCTCATTTTAAGTAAGTTTACTTCGTCCCTTATGCTGGTAGAGTTAATTGGACCTACATAAGTGATTAGTGATATCCCAGGCAGTGAGTTGAACTTCTCAAGGTTGGTAGTAACAGTTTACAACTTTCAGGGGTCAAACAGGGTTTTTCACAAAAGAGGTACTAACATAGTTTCCTATAATAAACACTCGTGATCTCTTACAAGTCAACAGTCTTAAAACTATCAAAACAAAAATTTTAATATTATAGGAAAACTCTTTGCTCCTAGAAAATAGACAGGGAGAAATCTATCTTTATGGATGCTATGATAGAGAATATACAAATATTTAATTAAAATTGTATGGTCATGAATATGTTAAACATTTGTTAACCTCTTTCCTCATCTATCAGTCAAAAGTTAAGAATCAATTTGGTGTTTTACTTTATCAAAAGCAATTGTTTCAATAGTTTCTTTTCAAGTTCCTGCTGGTGATAAAGCAAAACCAAATGAATGGCTTCTGTTTTATCTCTAAATTCAATCAAAGCTAACTTGAAGAGGCTGGGTACAAGTGGCTCATGCCTGTAATCCCAGCACTTTGGGAGGCTGAAGTGGGAGGATCACCCTGAGGTCAGGAGTTCAAGACCAGCCTGGCCAATGTGGTGAAACCCCATCTCTACTAAAAATATAAAAATTAGCCAGGTGTGGTGGGAGGTGCCTGTAATCTCAGCTACTCAGGAGGCTGTGGCATGAGAATCACTTGCACCTGGGAGGTAGAGGTTATAGTGAGCTGAGATGCTGTCACTGTACTCCAGTCTGGGTGACAGAGTGAGACTCTGTCTCAAAAAAAAAACAAACAAACAAACAAACAAACAAAACTAACTTGAAGATATTTGATTTGAGGCTTTTAATATTTTATTTCCATAAGCAGCATATTTTCCATGGAACATACTAGATGAATTACATGCTAAATGTATCCCTCAAATAACCAAGCAAATTTATCTGCAATATGGAATGTCTGGATACAAACCAAGTAAATTTTAGAGGACAGCTGCCAAGACCAATGACATATAGTAATTTATCATAATCTGGAGGCCTGCTTTGGAATTGTATGCACTGGGCATGCACAGCATTTACATTTCAAAGATGGTCACAAATCTTCTGACACACAGAGGGCTCCAAACAGGACTCATGCAGATATCAAATGTGTACTCAGTTATGCATTTGAGCAAGATTGTCCTTAGAAGACAGTTCTAAAAAAAGGAGTTTCCTGTTAAAAAAAAAAATAGCTTTCTGACAGCTTCTCTTAGCTTCCAGCTACAATACAAAAGGGAAAAACTCAAAACATGATGAAAAAACAGATAGATCCTCATTTTACTGCTAGAATGAAGAGGGAATTTCCATTTACCACAAAGAGGTGAGAGATGATAGAAACAGAAGGCAGAAAATATAGCTCCGGCTTAAGAAGAAAGGCTATTTTTAGAAATTCTAATTGTTAAAGCTTCTAAGATATAATTGAAGAATGTATTATTAAACTAAGGAGACTTGATTATGCAGATTACAAGGACCTGTCATAATCCCTTAACAACAACAACAACAAAAACATATTCTGTTAATAAAAGAAAGACACCTATATAAAATCTGGCAGTTTGGTTGAGCGAAATGTCATATTCTATTGTCTGGCCTCTGGCTGGTTTCTGAGGATGGGAGTCTTCACACTTGTTCAGTCACTTGTTGTAAGGGGCATCCTTCTACAGTGTGTAGAACATGGCCTCATGTGCAAGGGACAGCTTTTTCTTAGAAAAAAAAGTCTGTGGGGAAAGAGGGTAGAGGGAGAGTAAAATGGAAGGCACTAGAAATATAATTACTAATAGAAGCCAGGCATATTAAAACCATTTTGCATAATGACTTAAGTGGATATTCCTTCCGGAAGCATAAGGTCACAGATGAAAACAATAGATAATTTCTATCGGAGCTAAAATGGCATTTGATAAAATTTCACAGTCATTCCAACATTCTACTTAGTGGTAAATTCTACAAACACAGCTTTGAGGCCAAAATTATTCTGGAAGAGCTGCCAATGTAACCTTGAGAAATGAAGAAGAAAAGATGACATTATTACTATTTGCAATTGCTATGGATTTATTATTATTATTTGGCTTTGTGTTATGTAGAAAACCTGAGAATCAACTAAAAACTCTGGTACTGAAAGCTCAGTTTGATAACTGGAAACAAAACCCTAGCATTTTATTCCTGAGTGATAATAACTAGCAAGTATCATGGGTATTACCAAGAATAGGATGAAGACAATATCTCATTCTCAATAGCTACAAAAACATATTCAGGAGCAAATTTATCAAGAAATGTGCAAGAACTATGAAACTTGATTGAGAGACAAAAACATACTAAAGAGAAGAATGGATAACCCTTTTCTCTTTGAGGGCAAGGCGGGCAGTGGATTGTGCTTATGAGGGGGATACTGAGTTGATAGTACATGGAGAAGAGGTGAGTCTCTTTCTTAGATTAGCAGCAGGAGGCTGAGGCCAGGGAGAGGCAGGGAGGGTGAGGGGACAATGGCTGGGGAATGGTAGAGATTGAACACCTTCCCCATGTGCCAGGCTTGGGGATGAGCTGCGCAGGGGGCTTTTGTCTGTTTTGTTTAGATTTTCGTAAGTAGTAAAATCTGCTAATGTCATTCTCCTTTGCCTCCCTTCCTCTCTTCCTCATAACGATCTTCTGTAATGATCTGTATTGCCTTGCCTAGGCTTTGGGGTCAGACTTGCCGTTTCTTTCAGACATGCCACTACCCCCAGGCTGGCATTGAGAAGGGAACAGAAACACAGTTTCGTTTGCATTTTACAGCTATCTCCGAAATGAAGCTTCAAGTCAAATTCCATTCTCCGTGTCTGAGTTATGGTCTTTTACTAACATAAGGTTAATATCATAAGCCAAACAAAATGGTTACTTTAATTATGCTCCTTTTATTTTCCCTTGCAGTCAGGTAATCTGCATGGCTGTACATTGAGGCCAGTTGATGGAGTGATTGAGTGCATTTTCTCAGTGCTCTGGAAGGGTGGTCTGGGTTGGACATTTCATGACGTTTTTGTTGAAAATGCTATCTGTGTTGAAGGATTTTAGCTGGTTGGAGTGACCTCTAGTTTAATGGCTGTAGCACAATCTATCTGCTCTAGCAAAATTGTCATTTCCATGTCTGGTCAGCAAAACTTCAATTTTAGCTTCAAACAAGTTCATTTCATTTCTATTTTAGGAATATTGAAAATGGCAGGGATAAATATGAACAAAGAAATAGAAAAATGTGTTTCAGATTAGACTGTAAAGAAACATACTATTTTTCTCAAAGTGATGATTTCAACCAGATTATGACAGAAGTGATTTGATTAAATGGCTTGTTATAAAAAGGGAGTGGTTCTTTTGAACTCTGAGTCTCACAGACAAAGCACACCATTGAGAGGTGCCAAGTAACAGACACTGTGTTTTTTTTGTGTGTGTTTTAGGCAACTTTTTCCTGTACCTGTGAGGAGCAGTACGTGGGCACTTTCTGTGAAGAATACGATGCTTGCCAAAGGAAACCTTGCCGGAACAATGCGAGCTGCATTGATGCAAACGAAAAGCAAGATGGGAGCAATTTCACTTGTGTTTGCCTTCCTGGTAGGATATATACACATGGTTCACAGTTATTAGGTGTATGTCCGCATGCACTTTTAAAAAAAATTTCCATAGGCTTTTGGGGAACAGGTGGTATTTGGTTACATGAGTAAGTTCTTTTTTTTTTTTTGAGAGGGCGTTTTGCTCTTGCTACGCAGGCTGGAGTGCAATGGCGCGATCTTGGCTCACCGCAACCTCCGCCTCCTGGGTTCAGGCAATTCTCCTGCCTCAGCCTCCTGAGTAGCTGGGATTACAGGCACGCACCACCATGCCCAGCTAATTTTTTGTATTTTTAGTAGAGACGGGGTTTCACCATGTTGACCAGGATGGTCTTGATCTCTTGACCTCGTGATCCACCCGCCTCGGCCTCCCAAAGTGCTGGGATTACAGGCTTGAGCCACTGCGCCCGGCCCCCATAAGTAAGCAGTGATTTGTGAGGTTTTGGTGCTCTCATCGCCAAGCAGTATACACTGAACCCAATTTGTGGTCTTTTATTCCTCACCTCCTTCCTGCTGAGTCCCCAAAGTTCATTGAATATGCCTTTGCATCCTCATAGTTTAGCTCCCATTTGTGAGTGAGAACATCGGTGTTTGGTTTTCTATTCCTGAGTTACTTCACTTAGAGTAATAGTCTCTAATTCCATCCAGGTAGCTGTGAATGCCATGAATTATTATTTTGTTTTGAGACAAAGTCTCACTGGAGTGCAATGGTGTGATCTTGGCTCACTGTAACCTCTGCCTCCTGGGTTCAAGAAATTCTCCTGCCTCAGCCTCCCAAATAACTGGGATTACAGGCGTGCGCCACCACACCAAGCTAGTTTTTGTGTTTTTAGTAGAGATGGGGTTTCATTATGTTGGCTAGGCTGGTCTTGAACTTCTGACCTCAGATGATCCACTTCCCTCGGCCTACCAAAGTGCTGGGTTTACTGGCATGAGACACTGTGCCCAGCCTAATTCATTCCTTTTTATGGCTGAGTAGTATTCCATTGTGTATATGTATATGCCACAGTTTTTTTGTGTACTCATTGATTGATGGGCATTTGAGCTGGTTCCACATTTTCAGCATACACTTCTTAATTAAGGATGGTTAAACAATGCTATGCCCAGTTGTTGAACAAGGCAGCTTCAAAATCTCATTTGATTCTAACAGTCCATGCTTTATGCAATCAGGGAATGGAAGAAGAAAGTTCACATGGGGCTGCACAATATGTCCCTTGGCTTTCTGACATTAGAATGCTTCTGTTTCAGCATTAGACGATTTTTCTTCTGGGAAGATGATATTCTCGGTCCAGTAGAGGCTTGGATATTTTAAAAACAGTTCCACAAAGATGTACTGAGTGTGGGCTGGCACTGTACAGGGTGATTATGTTAAGTAACTTAAGAAAAACCTAGGATGAACCACAAAAGCCACCTAATCTTCCCACTTATATCAATTTCCTTTCATTCATGTACATTTGTTAGCTCAAGTTCCTCCTACCTTGTTCTCCCCAATGAGAAGTCTTTAACATTTCTTGATTAGTGTGCTGTGTTCTTGGATGTTACACGAGACTTTGAAATCCTCAGAGCTCACAGAGGCCTCTTGGGAGAGTGGAGTGGACAGTGTGCCCGTTGACTTCATGCTCTGACAATCATCTTAATTGACTTACTGCTCAGCCAACTTGATTACAAACCCTTCAGGGGCAGGAATGGCCCTTTACCAGGGAATGTTTTGGCACAGCCGCATTGATGCATCCTAAGAGCAAACACCAAGTTATTCCTGTTTTATTATAAAACAATGTGCAAAGCTGACGTTGTCTTTCCTCTTTCCATCCCATTCTCTTGCCAGCTTCTGCCAGTGGATGGGGATTCAGGATAAGGTGGGAGTTAGGGGTGAAAAAAGGGACGGAGTGAAGTGGGCATTGGGGTTTGTAACCACTCATTGTAAGAAACAAGAGGGCCAACAACACAGAAATTTATGAAAGTGGAAGACCTTTGCATATCTATTCCCAGCCAAACTTCATCAGATCATAGGGATAGATTAAACTTTTGGTATATTCTTTCATTGTATGTGTGCGTGTGCGTGTGTGTGTGTGTGTGTGTGTTTGTATGTGTGTGTGTGTGTGTAGGTAGGCTTGTGTATATTTCTCTTGCAGGCCAGATGATTAAGTATTTTTTGACATGTTTTTAAAAAGTGAGTGTATTATACATATTGTTTCATAACATTCTTTTTTTCAGTGTGTATTTGGCAGTAGATGACAGACATCCTACCATATCAGTTTGTATGGAGTGACCTCATTCGTTTTAACAGTTACATGGTGTCTCTCAAATTTTTATCTCCAGGTCAGAGTCCCCTCCAGACCTATGTACTTGACAGCCTACATGGCATCTCCATTTAGGTGTCCCAGGACATCTTAAGCTCAGTCATCTCCAAACTGAACTCATCATGCTCCCAGCCCCACACAGCTTGCCTTCCAGCAAGAAATGGAAATCCATTTCTTCAAGCCAGACATCTATGAGTCACCCTAGGTGCCTCCCTCTCCCTGTCTTTTCATATTTTTTCCACCTCCAATGCTCTCTGTTTTACTACCTAGAGGATTCTCAAGTCTTCCAGCTTCTGCAGCCCACTGCCAATACCTGCAGACCAGTGGCATTTGCCCCTTGCCTGTGCTGCTGAGATGACCTCCTGCTGTTTCGCCAGCAATTCTCGACCATGCTGCACCCTAGAGCTAGAGTTCTCATGTCTAAGTGAGCATCGGCCTTTGTCTCATCCATGCCCCAGATCCTCCATTCTCCACATGGCTGCAGGGGATCCCTGCCAGTGAGATTCTGATGTAGTTGCTTTTCTGCTTAAACATCTTCTTCATGTTGCTCTTTGGATAGAGGTAGAAATCCTTGGCCTCGTTCACACCATGGTATGTCTTTCGCCTGCCTTTCCAGCCTTATCTCACTCCTGTGACTCCGTTGCCCTGGTTCCAGCCACCTTGACCTTTTATCTCTGTAATACCTCGACCTCTCCTTTGCCACAGGATCCACCCTCTCATCCTTTTGCTTGAACAGCACTTCTTCCTCTCTCCTTTCAGCTTGGTCAGTTACTCCCAGATGTCTCTTGTTTCAGACCTCTGTTAAATGTCCCTTTTTCTCAGGAAGTCTTAGCTAACGGCTTCAAGCTAACTCTCTCTCCATTTTTCTCTTCTGTAGCCCTTTGTATACTTTCCTTCATGACACTGTCTGTTTTCAGCATACATTTGTGTGTGTGACCCTTTGATTACTGCCTGTCTTCCCTTTTGAAATTTTATATTTAATTTTATTTTGAGATGGAGCCTGACTCCTGTCACCCATGCTGAAGTGCAGTGGTGTGATCTCAGCTTTCTGCAACCTCTGCCTTCTGGGTTCAAGCGATTCTCCTGCCTCAGCCTCCCAAGTAGCTGGGATTACAGGTACCTGCCATCATGCCTGGCTAATTTTTGTGATTTTAGTAAAGACAGGGTTTCACCATGTTGGCCAGGCTGATCGCAAACTCCTGCCTCAGATGATCCACCTGCCTCAGCCTCCCGAAGTGCTGGGATTACAGGCATGAGCCACTGTGCCCGCCTGTCTTCTCTTTTTTAAAGGATGGTTAAGCCCCATGAGAGCAGGGGCTGGATCAATTTTATTCATGATTGTATTCCAGTGTCTGACAAATTGTGGACGCTCGGTCAATGTGTTGATGAGATGAATTAATGAAAGAGTATACATGTAGACAGATGTTTTAAGTGATTCCTCTGTTGACAAATCTTTTAGATGTTTGCAATTTCACTTTTGGAAGTACTGTTGAACAAATAAAGACCCTTCTGCAAGCAGTCTCAATCAGAGCTGGCAGGTGGAGGACTGACATGATTTCAATTTGATATTTTATCTGGGTTTGTTCTCAAAGGGGATTCGTTTTTTTAAAAGGATTTTATGTGCGCAGAATTGAATTGATGATAATACTTGGTTTGTGACACTCTCTAGCCTGTTTTTACATATTTACTAAGCACCAGTGAAACCATCACCAAAAACAGAAGTTATTTCTGACAACTACCCTTGTAGGCTCCTCCTTTATCCGTCCCTTCACCTCTCCTTTCCCTCCAGAGGTAACAACCACCCTGAATCTTGAGTTGATCAGTTCTTTGTTTTCCTTTTTAATCAGTTTACTATTTACATGTTTTAATAGAAATGTTTATTTTTAATTATTTTAAAATTCATAAAAGTGGCATCATGCATGATTCGTGTTAAGAGTATCATGCGTGCAATTCTCTGGTACGTCCTTTGTCACTTACTACTGTTACTACTAAGACATCCATCATAGTGTTGGCGTTCTTGACAGCTATATAAAATTCCATTAATCTATTCTATGAACGGGGACAGCTATGCATTCTTGTATGTCTTCTGTTGTATAGGTGCTAGAGGTTTTTCAGGTATATACCTAGAAGTAAAATTGTGGAACATAAAATATATAATTGACCAATTACAGGTGGTCATATCAAACTGCTTTTTCTAAGTGTTACACTCATATCTACTCACACGTGCAGCATATGAGTGAGTTTGTAGACTGATATCTTCTTCAGCAGGTGATAGTGTCAGAATTTTTAATGCTTGCCAACTAGATAGGTATAAAAAGGTATCTCATTATGGTCTCTGCAGTCTGCTGATCACTAATAAAACTGAACTCTTCTTCATATGTTTATTAGCCATTATCTGTGTATGTGCATGCACTCTTCTTGTTGATTTGTTAGAATTCTTTATTTTTGATACTAATAATTTGTTATACAAATTATAAATATGTAATTTGTCTTTTCACTTCAAGGGGTCTTTTGAGGAATAGACATTATATTTCTCAGTTTACTTTTCTGGCTAACACATTTATGTCTGATTTAAGAAAACCTTTCTCTGCATGAAGATCTAAAGGATGTTAATCTGTATTTTCCAGTAAACATTTAAAAATTTTGTTTTATACCGAAGTCTTTAATCAACGTGAATTTGATTTACATATATGTAGTATGAAAT